CACAAAAAGTAATAATAATAATTGTATATATAAAATTATATATGACAATATTGTATAGTATATAAAATAATGTATGTATATATATATATCAATTTTAAGCAGAAAAGATGGTCCCTTTAGATATATATCATATGATGCCTAGTTCACATTAATTAATTACACAGTATTTCTAATATGATTCTATTGGTGTTCAGAAGATTTAAAGGCACTATTTGTATTTGTTCCTAAGAGAAAAAAATAACTTGACACACTCCTGTAATTCCAGCTACTCCGGAGGCTAAGGCAGGAGGATCACAAGTCAAAGCTAGCATGGGCAACTTCAGGAGATCCTGAGTCAAAAAAAGGGTTGAGGTTGTATATGGTGGTACACCCCTATAATTCCATCCACTCAGGAGACTGAGGCCAGCTAGGGCTAAGTAACCTAGACCCTTCTGAAAATAAAAAAAGGTCTGGGGGGCTGAGATATAACTCTCGGTTGGTAGAATACTTGCCTCGCATGCACAAAGCCCTACCACAATCCCAGGTACCTAAATTAATAATAACAATAAGATAACTTGAAACCACTTATAAAATTCTTGAACACTATAATAGGGCTAATGTATATGAATATTAATTTATTTTATATACATAAAAATACAAAATTCAGGGCTGGGGCTGGGGCTCAGTGGTAGAGGGCCTGCACTGAATATATGAGGCACTGGGTTAGAACCTCAGCACTATATAAAAATAAATAAATAAAGATATTGTGTCCATCTACAACTAAAAAAAAAAAAACCAAAACTACAAAATTCACGCCAATTCAAACAACCATACTTATAAACTATGTTGGTTCTTCGAATTGTTTTTGCAATATAAATAGCTATTATTTCATAATAAGAAATCAACTAGTTTCTCTCTGCACTTGGTACTATACTTCTTTTCAATAAATCTCTGATGCTTCCAACCTATTGCAAACCTTCACTCCCTCTATACCCATCCTCTCTTACTTGGCACATGACTTTACCAAATGCACTGCTATAAAGATAGAAAAGATCCACTAGAAACCCTATTTTCCTGGCTTTTCATGGTAAAATGAAAACATTTATGACTTTCTCAACTTTATTCACCCTAACACTACCATTACCAAATCCTCCCCCTATCCTTCAGAACCTTAAATTTTTCTTTATTTGAATATTTTTTTGGGGGGTGGGGGTTACTAGAGATTGAACTCAGGGGCACTCAACCACTACCCCATATTTCCAGCCCTATTTTGTATTTTATTTAGAGACAGGCTCTTACCAAGTTGCTTAGCGCCTTGCTGTTGCTGAGGCTGGCTTTGAAGTCACAATTCTACTGCCTCAGCCTCCTGAACCTCTGGGATTACACACCCAGCTTATTTCAATAATTTTTTTAACATTTCCCTTTATATAGACATAAAAATATATACTTATATCTTCCCAGCTTGGGGGGGAGGGGATATTAATCCTTTGTCTTGCTTCCATTTTCAATTTAACACCAATTTATTTTTCTTATTCCATTTATCATCAAGCTTTAGAATTTATTATAATATACTTCCTCAGTTTAATAACAGGTGGGTGCAATGGTACAAAATTACAATTATCTTATATTAGACAACAGTGCCAAAAATATGCATAGGAGAAAACATAGCCTCTTCAACAAATGATGCTGGGAAAACTGGAAATCCATATGCTAAATGAAATTAAACCCCTATCTCTTACCATGCACAAAACTCAACTAAAAATGAATCAATGACTTAGGAATAAAAGCAGAGACCCTAGAGCTGGGGATGTGGCTCAAGCGGTAGCACGCTCGCCTGGCATGCGTGCGGCCCAGGTTCGATCCTCAGCACCATATACAAACAAAGATGTTGTGTCC